TGATGAAGACCGAAAATGGCCCTTCGTTTCAGGCTAAAAAGGCTACTGCCATTTCTAGTCTGAAACGACACAGGGTCTGTAGGCCCCTGTTTTTCAGGCTTTCGAGCTGAACAGACACGGGGCCTGTAGGCCCTGGTTTTCAGGCTTTCTGCCTGAATTTCAGGCTTTCAGCCTGAGGGACGCAGGGCCTGGAAAATGGCCCTTGTGTGCAGGCGCAGCATGTAACACCCCCCCCTCCTTGTGAAGTCAAGCCGGGGCAAGGGCGAAGCTGACGATCTGAAGGTAGAACCTGGACGCGGGTGCGGCGTGAAGCTGAAGAGACCGGCTTGCCTTGCATCTTGCGTTCGTAGCGTGCGAAAACGTCTGGAGCTGTTGCTTGAAGTTCCGCACGGGTCAACCAACGGTCAGCTCGGTGTGTGCAATATGAAAAATGGACCAAGTACCCGGTTGGCCTGTTGCCGTAGCGTCGCTGGGAGATGATGTCGCCGACCTCCTGTAAACCGTCCATAGAGGGTGCGTCTTGCGAACGTCGCCCGGGAAAATCGTCATGTTCCGCTGGCGTGTAAAGAGCCAACTTGGAGCAATGAAAGACTGGGTAGACGAGCAAGGCTGAAGTCCGCGGCGGAAACCCAAACGAGATCACCGGCGTGGAATGGGCAAGGAAGACGCTGGCGATTGGCCTGTTGGCTCATGCATTACAGCGTCTTGGCCATCTGGTCGCGTGCCTTGAAAAGTAGCTCTTGCATCCGACTCAAGAAAAGAAGATGGTCGTCGCTCTCGGCCGTTCGTGGAATGATTGTGTCCAACGACGAAGTGACCGGCGAGCCGTGCTCGAACTCGAAGGGCGACATCCCGATAGTCGGGTGGATGGACGAGTTGTAGGCCAACTCGACATCCGGCAGCCGCTTAACCCAATCCTTCTGGTCGGGGCGGATGAGAGTGCGAAGGAGCACTTGTGCGGTCTGATGCGCCCTCTCTGTTTGGCCATCGGTTTGGGGGTGGCGAGCCGAACTTGGCTTGAGAGATGAGCCCCATCGTTTGATGAGCGCCAACCAAAAATTGGACATGAACCGAGTGTTGCGGTTGCAGACGATTTCCTTGGGGTAACCCTTGGTTCGAATCTATAACTGGCGTAAAGAACCTCGGCCAACTCCGGTGCCTTGGCATGATAGCGGCAAGGCAAAAACATGGCGAACTTGGTGAGTCGGTCGACCGCCGTGAGAATCCCATCCACGCCGGTCTTGTGCTTGGGGAACGGGCCGGTAATGTCCATGGCAATCGCTTCCCTTCGTCGCAAGGGGACCGGTAATGGTCGCAACTCGCCGTATGGACGATGGTTGCGGGATTTGCAGCGTCGGCAAACGTCGCATGACTCGCAATAGCGTGTGACGTCGCCGAGAAGGCCAGGCCACCAAAATCGCTCGCGAAGTCGGCCAATCGTGCGATTGACTCCAAAGTGTCCGGTGGCGGGAGCATCGTGGAACTCGCCAAGAAGCCGTGTAAGCAAGTGAGGGCCACTTGGTACGCAAAGAAGGTCCTTCCCCCGTGTGTGGACAAGCAAGTACCCCTCTTGGATCCGATAGTAAGAAGTAGCCGGATTGGGAGAGGAGCAATTCGCGTACTTGTCGCGAAACTCGGGGTCGGCTTGGTAGCCACGGATGAAGCTGTCCCGCAGGTTGTTGTCTATCTTGAAGGTTGAGTAGACCGCAGTACAATGATCCGGATGCTGTGAGAGACCATCCGCAAAACGGTTCGACTTCCCCGGAATGTGATCGGGAAAGAAGTCGAACTGGTCGATGAAAGCCATCCATCGAGCGATGGTACTGTTGACGGTGTCTTGGGTCTTGCAAAAGACCAACGGATTGTTGTCCGTTACCCATTGGAATTGGCTTCGACCAAGGAGGAAGTGCCGCCACCACTTGAGCGCGTGGAAGAAGGCGAGGAGCCCCTTCTTGCGTGCATCGTCAATGGAGTGCACGACGGGCACTTTCTTGCTGAAATACTTGACCGCGTGCCAGTCCACGCCATCGTGTTGCTCGAGGACAACACCAATGCCATAGCTGGACGCATCCGTAGTGACGCGCGTAGGCAAAAGCCGGTCGTATATGCGCAAGACCTCCGCAGATAATAGCGAGGCTTTGAGACACCATCATGTTGCTCGAGGACAACACCAATGCCGAAGTCAAACATTGAAGCTTGGTCAAGTGGGCCGCGATCTTCGAGTAGCCTTGATAAAACGTTGGTAGTAACCGGCGAGACCAAGGAACGAACGAACATCCGTGACGTTCCGTGGCTCCGGCCACTCTTGCATGGCTTGAATCTTGTCCGATAGCGGACTGATGCCCTCCAGTGTGACAAAATGGCCCAAGTATTCCAGCTCTTGCCGGACAAATTCGCACTTGTCGCGGTTGGCCTTGTACTTGGCGTAGCAGAGCGTCTCCAACACTCGTCGAAGGTGCTCAAGATGATCCTCCAATGACCGGCTATAGACGAGAATATCGTCTAAGTCGACCAGCACGAACCAGTCCAACATTGCACGGAACTCATTGGTCATTGCCGCTTGAAAGGTCGTCGGGGCGTTGGTGAGGCCAAATTTTTGTAACGATCGTTCGGTCGGATCGAGATTTGATGATATCCCGATTTCAAATCCAACTTAGAAAAATATTTTGCGCAGCCCAATCGCTCAAGAAGATCCTCGATGCGAGGAAGAGGCCCCGCATTCTTGACGGTTTGTGCGTTGAGCTTGCGGTAGTCGATGCACAATCGTAGATCTTTGTTCTTATTCCGTTCGAAGAGAACTGGCGCTCCGTATGGAGAGCTACTAGGGCAGATCCAGCCCTTGTCCAACAAATCATCGAGTTGTGCGCGGAGGACCGTAAGCTCCTTCTCGCTCATGCGATAAATGCAACCTTTCGGCGGCACGGCACCGGCCTCAAGAATGATCTCGTGAGAGATCGGCCGATCCGACACCACACCAGTAGGTGACTCGAAGATGTTGGCGAACTCGTCAAGCAACCGCACCACACGGGGGTCCGAAGACAAGTACGTGGGTGAAGAGTCGGCTACCGCGACTGTCCGTAGGAAACATAGTCGATTTCGTCGGGCTGCTCGTAAGCACAAGTAGCCTGGAATGCCTTGGCCATCACCACTTGGCACCGAATCGAAGAGTGTGAAAGAGGAACAGTACACGCCACTTCGGCGCTGAAGGCGTTGCGAATGGTAAGAGTCCGCCGGTGGAAGTTGACAGTGTGGTCCGCACTTGCAAGCCAAGGCATTCCCAAAATAATGTCGTAGTCCGTGTCCAAAATGTCAAATGTCACCGGTTCGCATGCATGAGGTGCGAAATACACCGGTACGGCCTCAATGTAGTGGTCGATAAGTTGCTGCGTCCTTCCATCCGCCAACTTGATCGTCGTCGGGTTTGCCTTCCTTCGAACTTCTGCACCAAGGCCAACCCTTGGCATAAAGGCTTGGCTCATAAAATTGTGAGATACGTTGCTATCCAGCAAAGCGCTGCAGGACGCTTGGCCAACTTGGATGCGGACATAGAGGAGCGGTGCGTTGTTGTCGTCGTACTACTGATTGTGAAACTCGCGGGCCACCTGGTAACATACGCAAGGATGTCCCCCACCGCGACTTTGTCATCCGTCGTACGTGTGAGGATGAGCGCATAGTGTTGCGCATTGCGGTCCCGACAAGCGGCCCGTGGTCGGGAGAGGAAACCATGCGAAATCCCCAGATGTGAGCGGGTCCAATACCTCTATGTTGAACTTGCGCGCCGAATCCCGTGAAGAACCACTTGAAGACGATAAGTCGTCGCTGCAAGACGGAGAAGATGTCGCACACACGTCTTGTCCTTGAGCTTAAGTAACCAGCGTAGGAACGAGTCGGGCAGCATAGTCCTCAAAAGAATAAAGAAGAGGAGGACTATCGACTTCCGCATGTGCCTCGGAACGAAGGGCGGTCACCCGCGAAGCGACCGGTTCCGAAGGCATTGAGAGTGTCGTCGAGTCACTCCCGACGGTTCTCAGTTTCCCGATTCGCCCTTGCCTTTTGACTGGCAGGCCATTGTCTCATGGAGATCGTTGTTGCACCATAAGCAATAGTGAAATCTCGTGCGTGCTTTGAATGCTTGCTCGGAGAGACCGTATTAGGACCATGGGGCTGGAGCTGTTGCGTCGGGCCCGGGGCTAGACGCGGTGTTTGTCTTCGCCTTGCCGCATCCTCGGCCTTTGCCGGGGCGGCTACCTTCCCGGGCGGCTGCGAGTCTGTCCCCTTCATTGGCAGACACGGCCTTGCTAGTTTAGTCAAACGATATTGCCGCCGCGACCACGGCCACTTTCGGCCGATGCTGATCTCTACTCGGGCCTGCCGCAGACGAACGCAGGTTCTTAGCCTCCTTGTTCATGATAATAATCTGCGCGGCCTTGTCAAAGAGTTTCGCCCTTGTCGTCAGGGTGTCCTCGACGTGAGTCAAGGCATTGCTCAATGCCGGACACGACCTTGAGATAAAATAGTGGCGGATGGCTTTGAAGCCCATTTGGATGTCTGGGACGGATGTCAAGTGTTGGTACTCGGCAATCCAGTCGACACTCGATAGCGTGCCTTGTTCGAAGACCATTAGCTTGTTCGTTGCCTTTATCTTCGGCGACTCTACTTGGAACCATTTATGCCACGCCGCCTTCAGATCATCCCAGCTGATCTTGGTATGCAAGTCGGCAGCCACCACTCCGTACTTGGACAAGAGATTGTCCAACCGTGCCTGGCACGTGCCCTCCGACCGGGAGTATAAGTACGCGTGGTGCTTGTGTTCTTTGACGTAGTGTAGCTGCAGCGTGAGCTCGAACTTGCGGAACCATGGAATCGGATCTGTCTTCGTCGAGTCGCAGAAGATCTCCTGCCCATCCAACTTTGGAGCTGTCTCGCGCGGTTCCGAGCTCGAGTGGTTAGCGGCATTACAGATCCGCTACTCCAACTGTTGCATTGCGGTTTGCTATAACTGCACGCCGTCCTTGAGGGAGCCGACGTCAACCTCCAATGCTTCGAGGCGATCGGAGGTGTTGGAAGAGCTGGCATCGGGGGCGGCGACAGGTCGCTGCTCCAGCTGCCGGAGGCGGCTGTGGACTTGAGTCAGCGCGTCGTCGAGGCTGTGTATGTCCTCCTGCTGTGTAATGCATGTTGCCAGGAGGTCCGTGAGATGGGAGAGGAGTAGAGCGATCTTGTTTTCACTATCTTCCATCTTGCCATTCTCGGCCTCGGCCCGCCAATCCGCTGCCATTGTGAGCAAAACTTGCTCTCCGCTAAATATCTTCTCATGACGTTGAACTCGTTCTTCATCGGCAGCCTTTGTTGCTGCCTCGTCACGCTGGCGCTGCTGTTCAACTGCCAGCAGACGTGCCTTCTCGGCGTCCTCTGCCTTCTTCTTCGCTGCGGTTGCTACGTCATCTGCCCGTCTCTTGGTTTCGGTACTCCAAGCCAGCATCCGGGCCTGATAGGCCTCGTCTGTTTCCCCAGACTTCTGGTCCATGACGGCTGTTTGTGAACGCAAAAGCATAGACCAGGCCGGGGGCCTGCTGACGTGGTACTGCTGTCGGCTGACGTGGCACTGCTGTCGGCTGACGTGGCCTGCTGACGTGGTCTGCTGATGTGGCCTGCTGACGTGGCAACTCACCAATGCCGCCGCCGGGGGTACCCAGAGACAGATAAAGAAGGTAAGACCAGAGGTGGCAACAACATAGGTGGGGAGGGGTGGGTGGGATAATCGCCCAGATAACGCCCAGATAAGGAGCCACTAATCAAAAAGAAAAGTTTGACTTTGCAAAAAAAAATTCAAGAAAAAATAAAAATCCCGAGTTTTGCAAGTTCGGTAGGTCTCCCAACGTCCCCTGAAGTGCAAAAATTACCGATGAGAACAGTGTTGCACACCCCGACGGTCGACAGCCCTTGACTGGTCGGCTGCCGACCTGCCGACCGATCGGCTGGTCGGCACCTAGCAGTCGGGGATCATCGGCACCCCGCACTTTTTTTTTCCTGTTTTTTGGGATCTAGAACCCCTAATAACCCCACCCACACCCCCATACCGGCCCCCAATACCTGCATACACCAACCTAACACTCCCGAACCGCCCCCAACATCCTTATTAACCCCCCCAATATCCCCTATATCACCCCTATACTCCGCCTATACTCCAACCCATACCTGCGGGCCCTGCGGCGTATCGCCTGCGTGCGAGCTCCGCATGTGCGGCGCATAACGCACGTGTAAGCATGCACGCGCACCTGATGCGACGCACCCCACTAAATAGGGTATAAAAGAAAATTTGGAGAAGGCTGGCTAAGGTAGCCAATGGTGCACCTCCCCAMAAAAAAAAAATAGGGCCCACGTATTCCTTGTTGAATAGTCTTTTTCGCGGAGGACCCCAGCAGTACATATGCAAGGGTCCCAACATCTCAAGAGATGTTCAGCAAATGTCGTATGACAGAAGAGCAAATACCCTGACAAGGGTATTCGCCGGGGTTTTTCAACGTTGGACGTTGTCCGACTTTCTCGTTGAATTGAAGGACTTTATGAGACAACGTTGCCAAAAGTTTATTCAGACCTGACCTATGAATAACAGACTAAAAGTTTCGGACGCTAGTCCGGACGCGTGTGGCGTCTAGGAGTGACGAATGTGAATGGTAATGCTTCGCTTTTGTCGAAGCCGCTGGAATATGCGGACATGGGAACGGAAAAACTAAACCTATTCTACCTAAAATAAGGTCGCGATTCAGGGCCTGAATGGGCTAAAAAGAGGGGATGCGCCGGGTATGGGAACGTGGCGCAGAAGGAATGGGGAGTTCTTTTGTCTCGGCCCCGGAAGTTGGCATCAAGCCAGGGGGCTGACAGGCCAGTGCCACGCGTCCTACCAACGGCGTAAGGCCTGCAAGGCTGCGGGCAGGCGGGCAGGGCCTGCGATGCCACAAGCAGGCGGGCAGGGCCTGCGATGCCACAAGCAGGCGGGACCTGCAAAGCCCCGGCATGAGGCATAGGGGATAACGGTTTGGCAAGCTCTTCTTATAGAAGAGCAGCTCCTATCACTGTCGTGATAGGAGCTAGCGCGGTAGGTTACGATACTGAACTCTCACCTGATAGAGACTGGGATCAAATCCAACATGCCGCACCTCCGGGCTTGCTCCTTTTGGAGCAGCCCAGCAATCTGGCGCGGCGTTTTCGGTCGTGCGATCGATGCGATCACACGGCTGAAAACAGCCGCGCGCAGATTAGCCTGGCCCCTGCGCAAGGATGACACGCATAAATCGAGAGATGGTCGGAAAAAAAAAAAAAAAAAAAAAAAAAAAAAAGGTTGAAAAAT